GCGATTAACCTCAGGTGCCATTGCTCAGGAGCCATCCACTTTATTATTAGTAGTCAATTATTATTTTATATGTAGAGAGGGAGTGCATGTGTGTGTGTGTGGGGGGGTGTGTAGGTCAGAAGACAACTTTCAGGACTCCTCCGTTCTTTCCTGCCATGGTGTATTCTGGGGATCAAACTCAGGTTGTCTGGCTTGTGTGGCAACTGCTTTTACATACTGAGTCTTCCCACCAGCCACCATTCCAAGCTTTTTACGTGGTTGCGGGGAATTGAACTCAGAAAGCATTTTACTGGGCTGTCTCCCCGGCCTCCAGATGCACTCTTTGTCTACGTAGATGCTCTACCTCTAGTTAGCTAGAGATAGAGTGTTCCTGTGTTCTGAGGTGGATCTGGGCTTACGTTGACGCCTGAGATGCTGATGTCTCACGTTCCAGCGTCTCTTCCCTGTTCTCGTCTGTGTTTTATGGCCCAGCTCTGTTCTCCCTTTCCCTGTGTTTCCTTTTGCTTTACAGGCAGCTGTCGAGAATGGTGCTTATGGTACACGGGCATCAAATCAGGACCTGGTCTTTCTAAAAAACATTCCAATTCTTTCTGCCTTTCCCCACAGGAGTCAGGTGCAATGCCCGCCAGGTGCATGTCCCTAAGGGGCCTCTTTACCGTGTGGCCGGCACCTCTGTCTCTATCTCTTGCAACGTGAGTGCCTATGAGGGCCCTTCCCAACAAGACTTTGAGTGGTTCATGTACAGACCAGAGGCCCCAGCTACGTCACTGGGCATCATCAGCACCAAGGATAGCCGGTTCTCATATGCCGTGTTTGGGCCTCGGGTGGCTTCTGGAGACCTGCAGGTGCAGCGCCTGAAGGGAGATTCCGTAGTGCTCAAGATTGCTCGTCTGCAGGCCCAGGACTCTGGCTTTTATGAGTGCTACACCCCCTCTACGGATTCTCAGTACCTGGGCAACTACAGTGCCAAAGTGGAGCTGAGAGGTACTGGGCTCTGAGCTGGGTGGTGAGAGAGCCTCTCAGATTTAGATTTTCTTCTTCCTCTTCTCTACTTCCTCTTCCTTCTCCTCTACTTCCTCTTCTTTCCCCTCTACTTCCTCTTTCTCTACCCACCCACCCTCCAGTCCTGGAGACTGAACCTATAGTGTTGAGCGGTATACCAAGTGAAGTCTTCTACTAAGCTAGATCTCCTGTGCTGCTTTTTGAGATTGGCTCTCACCCTGTAGCCCAGGCTGGCCTGCAAAACCCTAGTCTTGGTTGGCCTGTCATTCGTGGAGGTTCTCCCACAATTCAGTGTGGCGCCCCGGTTAAAAACGCACAGCAGTCTTCCTGTGTCAGTCTCCTGTGCCGTCAAGACGACCTTTCCAGCACTTTTTCTTTTTCTTTCGTGGGGTCCGGATGCAGAGACTTTCCAAGTTGTCCACACTGGCCTGGAACTCGCTCTGTAGCCCAAGTGGGCCTTGAACTTGACCCTTCTGTCTTAGCATCCTGGGGAGCTGGGGTTATAGGCCGGCACCATCAGGTCCAGCCTCTTTAGAGAATTACTTTTTTTTTGAGTATTTAAAACGGGTCAATCCCAGACGTCAGAGTGGGTGTCAATAGGCTTGCTCTGTGAAATCCAGCAGGTATTTATTGAGCATCTTGGTATGCCCAGACTGGGGTTGGCACCCCTGAGTTCTCCAAGTCCTTGCCCTCCAGTAGGTAGTGGAGTAGGCCACACACACAGGACACAGTGGGGGCCGCCAGCTCCCGGCCCTCTCTCACTAAAGCCTTTCTCTCCAGTTCTTCCAGATGAGCTGCAGGTGTCTGCTGCCCCTCCAGGGCCCCGAGGCCGCCAGGCTGCAACCTCCCCCTCACGCCTGACAGTGCATGAGGGGCAGGAGCTGGCGCTGGGCTGCTTGGCTCAGACGAAAACGAAGAAGCACACACACCTGTCGGTGTCCTTCGGGAGAGCCGTTCCCGAGGCGCCAGTTGGGCGTGCCACTCTACAAGAAGTGGTGGGGCTGCGCTCCGACATGGCGGTGGAGGCTGGAGCCCCCTATGCCGAGAGGCTGGCTGCTGGGGAGCTGCGGCTGAGCAAGGAAGGAGCCGATCGCTACCGCATGGTGGTTGGGGGTGCCCAGGCCGCCGACTCGGGCACCTACCACTGCACTGCCGCCGAATGGATCCAGGATCCTGACGGCTCCTGGGTCCAGATCGCAGAGAAGAGGGCAGTCCTGGCCCATGTGGATGTGCAGACACTGTGTGAGTGTCACATGTCCCCCTAAGGGGGCATCAGGGGTGGTGCTACATGACCACTATCTGACTACAGAACTCTTCTTCCATGGAGCAATCTTCTAGACATTATTCACTCTCTATCCATGTCTCCACTGCTCAGAGATTGGATGTGGAGAGACAAGGGCTATGGGGAAGGGTGAAATTCAGGTCCTGGGGTGAGGGACAGAGAAAAGGCCTCTAAATTTTTGCCGAGAGGTGTAATAGATGGCATCCCCGTGACCCCTCCCTTCCCCTGCTGTATTTCAGCTAGCCAGCTGGCAGTGACTGTGGGACCAGGTGAACACCGGATTGGCCCAGGGGAACCCTTGGAACTGCTGTGCAATGTGTCCGGGGCACTGCCCCCACCAGGCCGCCATGCTGCGTACTCGGTGGGCTGGGAGATGGCTCCTGCAGGGGCTCCTGGGCCTGGCCGCCTGGTGGCCCAGCTGGACACCGAAGGGGTCGGCAGCCTGGGCCCTGGCTATGAGGGCCGGCACATTGCCATGGAGAAAGTGGCATCCAGAACCTACCGGCTACGACTGGAGGCTGCCAGGCCCGGGGACGCAGGCACCTACCGCTGCCTCGCCAAAGCCTACGTTCGAGGGTCCGGGACCCGGCTTCGTGAAGCAGCCAGTGCCAGGTCCCGGCCGCTCCCTGTGCATGTGAGGGAAGAAGGTGAGAGAGAGGTCGAGCCCTCGACAGGCTTCAGAGCTTGTAGAACTTATTTCCTGACTTCTTAGCCCCTGCGCCTTCACCCGGTAACCCCCTTGTCCTTTGCTCTGCAGGTGTGGTGCTGGAAGCCGTGGCATGGCTCGCAGGGGGCACCGTGTACCGGGGAGAGACCGCTTCCCTGTTATGCAACATCTCTGTGCGGGGCGGTCCCCCGGGGCTGCGACTAGCGGCCAGCTGGTGGGTGGAGAGGCCAGAGGAGGGCGAGTTAAGCCCTGGGCCAGCTCAGCTTGTGGGTGGGGTCGGTCAGGATGGTGTGGCAGAGCTGGGAGTCCGGCCTGGAGGGCGTCCTGTCAGCGTGGAGCTGGTGGGACCCAGAAGTCATCGGCTAAGACTGCACAGTCTGGGGCCTGACGATGAAGGCATATACCACTGCGCCCCAAGCGCCTGGGTGCGGCATGCTGATTATAGCTGGTACCAGGCGGGCAGCGCGCGCTCCGGGCCTGTCACAGTCTACCCCTACACGCACGGTAAGTGACAACCACCCCCCCACTCACCTGCTCCAGCTGCGTTGACCCACTTCCGTTTTCCTGTTTTCCCTGCTATCATCCACCCCCCCCATCCCTTTGCATGAAGAGCCCCAAGCTGACCTCAGTGCCAAGTGCGGTGGTTGTGGGTGGACTCTGTGGCGCTCTGTGAGTCTAGAAAACCTGCTGGGGAGAGTGCCAGAGACCTGTACGACAGACAGACAGACAGACAGACAGCGGGGCGGAGGACCACGGCACTCCCTGAGTAGAGCCGTCTTTTTTCCTCCAGCTCTGGACACCCTGTTCGTGCCCCTGTTGGCGGGTACAGGAGTCGCCCTAGTCACCGGCGCCAGTGTCCTCGCTACAATCACCTGCTGCTTTATGAAGAGGCTGCGGAAGCGGTGATCTGTAGCGCCCCAGGTGAGGGAAAGGGACCCCCAAACCTCCCCGTCTTCCTCAGGCTTCCCGTGTGCTCCACCTGGACGAGAAACAGCCAGCTCAGTCCTGCAGGATCGTGATGCAGGGTGAGGGCGGAAAGGGAGCCTGTTCCTCAGCCTGCTCCACATGCTCTCTCCAGTTCCTGCAGGTGTCAACTGTCTTCCAACCAGCGACAGCCCTCCTCCCGTTGCCTGGGTACCCTCTCCCTCCTCCGTCCAGCCCCTCCTTTAATTTATTTGACCTGTCCCTACCTAGAGTGGGAGATGTGCGCCCCCCACCCCCACCCCACATTCCCCACATCTTTCCTCGAGGTCTTCCTTCTGGTTCTCTGTTCTTGGTCTCACACTCATGCTGTAGGAAGGCCAGTTCCTGTCCTCCGACTAGTTGTTGTTGTTGTTTTTTTTTTCCTAAAATGTGAATAAACTGGTTTTATAAAATCCAGGCCTGGTTGTGTCTTTCCTTGCCATGAAGCTATAAAAGGCGGCGACTGGGGGCGGGGGGTGGTGGTGGGGAGGTTGCTGGGGGTTGACAACCTATTCTGGACAACCCAGGCCTCTCTTCCCACCATAAACACCATCTGTCCTTCGTGGGCCTTGCTACCCACCCACGGCAGGAGGGGATGCCCGGGTCCCATCTGTTGCCGAAAACGTGAGTGCCGAGCCAACTCCTAAGGGGCTTCTGTTTGGGACAAGGGACATGGGAAGCAAGGGTGAGTTCCAGCTGAGCTTGGCCCCTTTCACAGCCTCCGGGGACGGGGGATGAGTCTTCCTGAGCTCCCCAGACTGGGGCACACCCTCCTCCTCTCATTCTCCTGGTTGGGCTAGTCTTGGACCAGACTCCTCCCAGCAGGCCTTGGGGCCTCCCTGACCTTAATTATTCTCTGATGGCAGCAGAATAGGAGCCTCGGAATACAGCTGCCTACTTAGGGACCACAGCCGTCGGGAGGGCCTGTGTCCTCTGTGTACACAGAGCCGTTGCCCCGGCTTACACAGGCTGTACCGCCCTGCCTAAGGATTCTCTGGTCCCGAGAGTCTCGGCTGTTCTGTACTTCAAGTGGCATCCAGTCCACCCTTTTCATTTAGTAATTTAACATTTATTGAGCATTACGAGTTTGCCAAATATCTTTTTTTTTTTTTTTTTACAGAAAAGGAAACTGAGGCCCAGAGAAGTGATGTGTCTTACTGAGAGTCATAGAGGTAATTAGTGACAATCAGCGTTTGGCACTAGAACCCAGGTCAACTGACTGCCCTGGACAGCGGTGCCCTGAGTGGTGGCTTCTCAGCGACTTCCAGGAGCAGCTTCAACATCTCCATTCCAGTGCTCTGTATGAGGACGCCAGGCACCACCCCCTCTTGCGCAGACTCGACCCGTTTCCCCCTGAATTCCAACCCCGGCCACTCCCTGTGCTCAGAGTGTCTGTGGGGGACTGCAGCAGATATGTGTTCACGGACCTCATTTGTGAGAGAGACCCGGGTGGTCCTGAAACCTGAGTCCATTGTCACACTGAAGGGGAGAGGCAACAGCTGGCGTCCTCTGAGTGGACCTAAGCGGAGGTCCACTGGGAGGGAGGCGCAGTGCCCCCATTGGGTGCTGGCTTCTTAGCCTGGAACAGCAGACCTTTATTCGAGGGCAGGAGTGGGTGTAGCCAGGGCCAAGGTTTGAACCATCCCCATCAGAGGACGTGTTCATCTGGGCTACACTTAGTGCCCAGCCTCAAGTGCCTTGACTGACCTTCTGCTCCCCAATCTGCCATCGCCATCCCCTCATCACCCCAAGATGACTGGGGACAAGGCCAGGATGCAGCGGAGGTGGGTGGGGTGGGGGTATGTATCTCCAGGGTTCCCTGTCCCGGCGGGACAGATGGCGGGCGGCAGATACCCGGAAGTGTAAGCTCCGTTCTCTCCCCTAGTCGATGCTGCCTTGTCAGTCCTATTAGAGGGTTCGTCCTTTGTCATAAAAGCCCATTCAGCTTCAGCTCCCCACTGCCTCCTCAGGGGTCCCCCAAAGGCCTTCGAACTCTTTCCACCTGTCCCTGATGCCCTCTCATCTTCCCAGGTGCCACCTCAGTGTCACTGGCCAGTTACCACTGACGTTTCCGTTCTTGGACCCAAAGTTAAGCTCTTCGGCCTGGACCACGGTCCCTTTCCCCGACATTTTCCTTCTTGAGGTTCCTCGGCTTCCTTTCAGCTTCTCCTCCGCTTAGATGCCTCATCCAAGCATAGTCCCCAGACCAACAGGGTCAGCACGATCTGGGAACCTGTTAGATCTGGGAACTAGTCAGACGTGCAGATTTTTTTTTTTTTTTTTTTTTTTTGTTTCCATCCCGGACCTACTGAGTCAGAATGTTGGGAGTGGGACCCAGCAATCTGTTTTAACAAGCCCTCCAGGTGAGTGACGCAAAGCTCTGTGACTGATGGTTCCCACCATTCCCCCTGCCTTACTCAGCCCTTAGCTTCCTGGTTGCTACTGCCATGTCACACCTGGCTCTAAGAGCTTGTGTGGGCTCCTAGCGTGAGCTCCTAGTGTGAGCCACACTGCCTTCAGTTGCTGTGGGGGGCGGGGATTTCTGACCTCCACCTGTGCTGCGTTCTTGTGTTAGGACCAGGTCTTTGGAATGCCACCCCTGATGCCCAACCACCATTTTGAATGAACCCCTGTCACTGTGCCCCAAGGATAAACTGCTTTCCCTAGGGATCAGGCTTCCCTCATAAAACCACTTATTAAGTCTCCCATGGCCTTTCTTCTGCTTCAGAATCGCTCTGTTTTCTTGCTTCCATAGCAGTGCCTGCAAGGTTTCACTCCACGGTCACAAAATAGTTGTCCCTGGGTCGCTCCTGGTCCTGCTCCAGGGCCCCTGCTCAGCATCTACCCCCATTGCTTGTCTGCCTGTCCCCTGAGGATTAAGGCTGTAGACACCTTTCTGAGCCTGTCGGAGTGGGACAGTGAAATTGGGGAGGGTCACATTTATGCCCTCCTCCACCCCGTTTCCTCTTCTCTGGCCCAGCGGTGGCCGCTTTGTCTAGACAGGTGCATCGCACATAGGGAGGCCAGCTGAGGAAGAGAGTGGGGGCAGCAATCCATCGGACACTCTACTCCCTAAGCCACGTCCCCTGGTTTAGCCACGTCCCCTGGCTTGAGGCTGCCTCTGTCTAGAAGAAGAGGGTACAGGCGGGTTTCGCACAAAGGCATGCTGCAGGTTAAGGCAGCACTAAGTTCACCAACTCTTGATTCATTTTGCCAGCCAAGCTATCCACTGGCTGCCTCTGTCTGCCCCACCTTCCCATTCAACCCCACGAGCCCGTCCTCGGTCCATCCGTCCACCCACGAACAGATGGGAAGGTCAAACACAGACAGACTGATAGGTTCTCTCGTTCCCGCCCTCTCTTCTCTTCAAGCCAGGGCTTCTTCCTTCGCTACTGGATCCTGGACTCAGTGAGCCTCTCCCAACTTTAAGCTATTCCTTGGGACATGGCCTGCCTCCTCCCTCTTCTCTCTCCACTTTCATGTTCCTGTGCCTAGCCCCCTGGTCTGCCACAGGGGTTTGGAGAAAACCAGTCACACCTTGGACTCACTCTCGGGGGGTGGTAGGCAGCCGTTCTGCTCCTTGTCAGCTCCATCTCCCCCACCTGCCCCCTCCCCCGCCCCCTCTTCCTCCACCTTCTCATCCAGCCTGCTGGGGATGGACCAGTAGAGATGGGCATCAAGGCGGGCTGCAGCTTCTGCCAACTCCCGGGCGCTGCATGAGGGCGTGGGTACTTCAAAGGTCTCGTGGAAGCTGGCATAGTCCACCTCGTAGAAGCCGTCCTCCAGGGTGAGCACAGACGTGAACCGGTGGCCCCACAGCACTTCGTCCACCAGGTAGGAGCTTCGAGCTTGGCATGTCATTCCTGCGGGGAGGGGGAGAGGTGTCAGTCAAAGGGATCCCAGCCTCCTTCCCTCTTCTGCCTCTTTACCCCGTAACCCTCTGCTTTTCCCAAGAGTCCCACCTCTCCTTGGTCGGCTCTCTTCTCCATTTGCTCTCTTTTTCTCTTTATTTCCCCCACTCTCCTTTGAGAAGCGTAACCTTAAAACTAACCTTAGGGATCATCTAGTCCAGCTTCCCACTTCCCACAGAGCCTCGACACCTCACCCCCAAAACAATGGGCAGCTGGCTGCATTGATTACCTCCCAGGATTGAAAGCCCACCACCTCGTTAGAAGTCCAGGCCTTTGTGTATTGCGTTGATTTGTGTTTCTGTGCATGGGTGTGTGTGCATATGTGCCACAGGATGTATGTGGAGGTCAGAGGGCAGCTTTGGGAGTCGGGTCACTCCACAATACGAGACCTGGGGATCTAACTGAGGTCCTCAGGCCTGGTGACAAGTGCCTTAGCTTGCTGAGCCATCCCACTGGCTCTGGGTTGTCTTTTATACAAAGTAAAACCTGTCCCCGAGGGTCTCTACCCCTTGGTTTCATGTCCTTCCCACCTGACACTCCCCTTCGGGCCTGTAAACACAGACCCAGGTCCCCTTAGAGCTCTTCCCCAGATTGAACTCATGACCGTTTCCCACTTGATCTGGCTTTCGAAAAGCTTACTGTCTTCATTGCAAATGAGAATGGCCAGGGAGGACCAGGTAAGGGTCCATCCGAAGTGTGCCGACGTTTCCAGTTGTGGCCTCCTCTTTGCATGAAAGAAGGCTCACCATCTCTCCTTCTGGCCAGGATGCTTTAGCGAAGTGGCCCGTGATTACATTACATAAACGCCTTTGGAAGCTGCATCACGTTGCTACAGCAAGCCTGTGAGCCTGTGGCCAACTCAAACCCCCAGTTCTTTCTCCACTAGAGGCTCTCCATGCTGCGCTTACATAAGTGATTTTTTTTTAAAGCCTAAATGTAGAATTTTATATTTATTCCCTTTAAATGTCATCATGTTGGGTTTTTTGGCTCATTATTCTTGCTTTTCAAAAGCAGTTTGAATCCCAAAATACTACCGTCCTTCCCAGCTTTATCTGGAGAAAAATCAAACAAGCTCCCACCGCCATGTCCTTTATACTGCCCTTCTCAGGTCCTGCCCTGGGTCTGTGTCCTGCCTTCCCTGTTGGGATTTTTTGCACCCTTCCCTCAGGGCAGATCATTTTGTTCCTACTTTAGAGTCTCCCCAAACGAATACCATCTCAGAAACAGAGGTGGGAAACCTTCACCAACCAGAGGCTGGTTGACATTGCAAGTCCGGCTCTGAGACTTCTTGGGGGACACTGGTATTCTTTGGCAAAGCTGGAATAAGACCTATCCAGTGAAGGTGGGAAAGCAGAGGCTCCCAGGGCCTCTGCAGAGAGAAGGCCCGAGAAGCAGAGTTGGGGCTGGGGGGGAGTAGGGGTGGGTGGGAGGTGGAGGAAAAAGTTCAAAAGGACCCTGTAAGAACACAGCCCAAGACAGTGTGAAAAAGGAGGGACAGCTGGAGAGACGGAGGGAGTCGTGAGGAAAGGGGAAGGGTTAGGACCAGCCTGGTCGGAGGGAAGGAGGAGTGGGAAGTGGGGAGTGGAGGGAGCTGAGTTGGTGATGGAACAGAGGTTGCTTCCGCAGAGGACCGGCAGCCAGCTTTCAAGGCTAGCTGCAGGGAGCAAGTGCGTCAGTAGCAGCGCCGCAGCTCCCCCTAGTGGCCCTTTGGTTCTCCGCCTGCATTTCCCTTACCCTCTTGGGTGGCTAGGACCTCCTAAAGGACCTGCTTTTTCTCTATTCTGGTCCCAAGCTCTTGACAGTGTAGGACTGAGTGAAGGTACTGAAATCACAGTTCCTTCTGGAAAGGGGCTAGAAATAGCAACATCAGGGGAAGTTAAGCGTGACAGATGGGGGTAACTGGGGCCGAAGTGAGACCAGTTCTCACCTCCCCACACCTGAGTTTGCCTCCTTGGGGAGTAACTCAGGTCAATCACATTCAAGGGCTCTGGATCTCTGGGCATCAAGAACTCTGCACTTAACCTTCATCCCAAGGCTACACCAGGAGACACTGAAGATAGACTTCCCGTGTTCAATCTAGGCTACGCTATTTATTGGCTGTGACAGAGGGGGCCTATGGGACCTTTCCTTGGGGCTACTCATTCTCTGAAAAGTGAGCACAGTCAAAAGTAACCTCCAGGGGAGCCTCGCTGAGAGTAAATGAATTCAGAGCTGTTGAGTGCTATTCAAAGTGACATACGTGTCAGGCCAGGGCCTCAAGCTAGCGTCATTTCATAGAACTCTTCCCAGCCTTTTCCTGACTCTGCAAAGTCACCCTGTCCATCCCGTTCATTTCTAGCCCTGCCCCAGCACCGCCACCACCCCCTCCGCCTGTCACCCTGCACTCCACTCTCTGTCCATCTTCCTGCACCTCCCCGGGCTGCTTTTCTTGCCCTTGTCCTGCATCAACCGCTCCCGTCCTCCAGCCTGCCCGCACCCGTGGCCTCCACCATGCCCTCGAGAATGACTACGATCTCGAAGTCGTCCCTCTCGAGGGCGCGGCGCGACGCCTCCCAGAAGGGGCTGGCGGCATCGATCTCGTGGCTGATGACGAGAGGCGAGACGAGGAAGAGGCGGTCGTCCCCGGTGTCGAAGCCCACGCTGAGGTCGGTCTGGTGCAGAGGGATGAACTCGCCCTCGAGCGTCTGGCGCGAGCGGATGAGCTTGGCGCGGATGGAGGCCTCCACGATGTGCGAGGATCGCAGGTCGCCCACGCGGAACATGAGGCAGAGGCGCCCGTCGCGCAGCGACACCACGGCGTGCGAGGAGAAGACCAGCGTGGCGGCCCGCTTGTTGGGCTGCGAGATCTTGACGAACATGCAGCCCACCATGAAGGCGTTCACCATGGAGCCCAGGATGGCCTGCAGCAGCAGCAGCACGATGCCCTCGGGGCACTGGTCGGTGATGACGCGGTGCCCGTAGCCGATGGTGGTCTCGGTCTCGATGGAGAAGAGGAAGGCGGCCACGAAGCCGTTGAGGTTGTTGACGCACGGCGTCCACGCCGTGTCCTCCAGGTGCTCCAGGTCGCCGCGGCCGTAGGCGATGAGCCACCAGATGGCGCCGAAGAAGAGCCAAGTGAGCGCGTAGGCGAGCACGAAGAAGAGCAGGCTGAGGCGCCACTGCAGGTCCACCAGCGTGGTGAACAGGTCGGTCAGGTAGCGGTAGGTCTCGCGCACGTTGCCCTGCTGCACGTTGCAGCGGCCGTCCTTCTCCACGTAGCGCTGGCGGCCGCGGCGCCGCGGCGGCTCCTCCGACACCGGAGAGAAAGCGGCATTCTCCTGCGCCATGGCGGCCGCAGCCGGAGTCCTGCGGGGGGGGGGGGGACTTAATAAAGGTGTAGCGAGTTGATGGATCCGCGCCCCCCGATCTCAGGGTCAGCGCAACGGCGGCGAGGAGCCCCTGAGCGAATCTCCCCTTCCTGGCTCTTGGCCTCAATTTTCCCCGCTAGTGGAATGGGAACAACCCTAACAGCCCACAAGCTCAGAAAGTTGGGGGGCCGGGAGGGCTGGAGAGGTGGCTCAAATGGCTCACGGGTTGCAGTTCCAGAGGCTCTCTGGCTCTGATTCCCAGCACCCACATGTGGGCTTCCAACCGGTTGTAATTCCAGTCTCTCGCCCTCTTCTGGCCTCCGAGGGTGATGCACAGACATACATAAGGGCAAAACACCCATAACACATAAAATACAAAATGAAGGTTAAGGAAAAGTTGTACGGATCACACAGTGTAATGAACACGAAGTGCAGCACAGAGTAAGTTCAAATGGATAGGAGGCGTTAGAGATCTCGATGTCAGAGATCTCGGTGTCACCACCTCAAGCCTGAGCGTGTGGCACTTCACAGGCAAGCCTGGACCAGGCCCCTGGGATTCTAAAACCGTAAGAGGTGGGCTCCTTGGCAGTTTCCTCTCTATGCAGAGCCCTCCCTGCCGTGAGGACTCACTCTTTCCCTTGCTTATATGCCTTCCCCCAGGACTCTTCTTCATCATCCTACCCAAAGACCCACCTGAAGACTGTTTTGAAGTTCACAACCAAGACTCTTCCTGAATCTCATGCTTTCCACCTTGTCCTACGACTTTTCTCCACCCCAGACTTACCACGGAGAAAGAAAATGCAAGCTATGCACAAGAAAAAAAATCTCCAACGTGCAAAGGTTGAACGTTCCCAACATTAGGAAATGGCAGTTCTGATTGCTTAACCGTGGTCACTGATGCTCTGGTATCAGCCCGTTTCTCCTGGGCTCTTTCCCAAAGGAGACGTGCCCAAAAGGGTTGGCAATAGGGGGGCTGGAGGCCATGTGAGATCAACTGCCCAGAGCAAGGATAAGGGAAGTACCAGGCCATCCAAGGTTACGCTAATCTAGCACGTTCCATCCTCTATACTTCCTAAGAGATAAGAAACCAGATCGAGTGAAACACGGAGCGCCCACATCCACCCCCTCCCAGTTTCCTGCTTTGCACTTACTACCTACCCTAACACCAGCCCACCCACAGCAGCCATATGTCCCCCGAGCCCACGTCCCAAGCAAAGCCCAGATTCCCAGCAAAAAAACCCACCTGATTTTGTTTCAAATTCTTCCCACTGAGACACACTCTGAGTTGCAGTCTTCCCTGAGAAATGGATGTCCAGAGTCCTTCCCTAGGCGCTTAGGGTCCCCTAAGAGATACGGACCGTATGAAGCAAAGTCTGTAGGACAAGGATTTAGGGATCATCAACCTTCCTTTCTCTTTTCTGGGATTTGTCGTCCCCTCCCATTCCAAGGGAACCTGGGGTGGAGGGAGGAGAGGCAGGGAGGCTGGGGGGGTGGGCAGGAATGTGACATAAGGTTCACAGATGGCTTAGGTGACCAATTCCTAGGGAGAAACTGCATGGATAGGTAACTACAAGCCCGACGTTCCAATTTTTTTAAATTTTGGAGAGAAGTGTTCTGCAGCTAGACCTTTGGAGGGTGTGTGTATGTTAAATAAAAGGCAAAAGGAGAAACCACAAAGAGATGGGTTGTCTCCCAAGGGCCCCCACACTTATTTTCCACTCGAGTCAGGAGACACGGCCCAGGAACACCTTGGCAGTGGCAGATTTGATCTTCCCCTCCCCCAACTTGCTTTCCCCTCTCTGCGGCTCAGGGTGTCCTCTGGAAGTGATCTGTAAGTACTCAGTGCCTCAGGACCCCAGGCCTCCTTCGTCCTAGCGTTAGCTTCAGGTGGGCTTCTAGACGTTCTTCTTAGGGTCTTAGTCATCTGACCTCCATCTGTGCCCAGAAATGGGGAAGGGCTCCCAGTGTCCGGTCATCCCCCAAACGCTGATTGCCCAGGGAACCTTCCGATTGTGTCCTGGCTCTTGTCATCCTGAGGAAGGGTCTCTTTTTCATGGGACAGGAAAGGTGTGCACTGTCCACTACCTGAAGAGTAAGGTCTTCATTTCTGCCTTTTCCCTCCAAATAACTACAGTTCTTCCAACCACAGTTCTTGGGCATGCTGTGACCCCTTTCAGTAAGATCCCGGAACCACATTTTCTTGGTGCTCTCTTCCTCCCCCTAGAGAGTGCTGGCCAGTACTGGGGGGCTTATCTTTTGGAAGGAGGTCTGTCGGGTGGACACTCCTTCAGGAACCAGCTCCACCCAAACCCCACTTGCCTTAGAAATCGGGGCCCAAACCCCAAGTCCCACAACTCAACTCACAGAGCCTGGAGAAGAGAGGAGCCGGCAGCAGAGACCCTTGGGGGTTGGTGCCCATGTCCCTGACACCATCTCCCCCCACACCATGGGTCCCCTCTGAGAGTGGGAGCCGCAGACAGGGCTGTTTCTCCTAAAGGTAGCGGCAGCTCAGACTAGGACTTGGTATCTGTGTCATCCCCACTTCCCAGGTTCCCCTGCTCCTCTCTCGTTTCCATGGCAACCAGTCTGGCTACAGCTCCACAGCGTCTCCCTCCCTTTCCCAGTCCTGGGTACCACTCTGGCTGATCCACACACGCCATAGCTATTTTTAGCCAAAGTCCCTCCTCCTGGACATTGAGAGTTGTCTCCTCACCCCTTTATAGGGGGAAACGCGGAGGAGGGGCAGGGGGAGACCTGGCATAAGGGTCCTTTTCTAAGAAGCTCCTCATTCTGGGACAATAGAGGCCTGGTGGTGTTGGGAATAAAACGTTTGGTTTCAGGGGGTCATCTGGGAGCTCACAGCTCATGATCCCCCGCAGGGACCGCTGGGTAAAGGTGCTGCCCTCACCAGCCTCACCACTACGGGCTCCATTTCTGAAGAGACCTCTGATGCAGAAAGCAGCGGCCAGAAGGGAAAGAGGTCTGTGGAGGTAGGGGCTAGGGGCAGGGTCAGAGAGGTTCCGCCGTTGTCACCGTTACACGCTGTGACTGAAGTCCCTCCACTTCGCCGAGCCATAGTTGTTGTCTGTCTCAGAGTGTGGGCATGGGCAAACACGCCTCTTCTGCCTGCGCCACATGCGGTGCCGACCAAATTAGGCAACGGAAAACAAGGGTTTTGAGATGTGTTTTGCTAACAGCAAAAAGTTGAGGAAACCCTCAACTGTCCCAAGGAGAGGAGAGTTTAGGCTAGCTCTCACTATCAATAGCCCTTTGCGACCCAAATGATACACACTGTGCTAGGTAGAGGTGATGATGAAATGAAGCGGTCTCTGCCCAGGAGCAGCTTATGACGTCATGGGAAGGAAAAAACACAGAATTGCATAGGGCTACTGCTGCATGCCGCTATTGCTAATCCACCAAGCATCAGCGCATTCAGTTGCTGCTATTGCTAATCCACCAAGCATCAGCTCATTCGATTCCCATGAGACAGTTATTTTTTTCTATTTATGGATGAGGAAAATGGAAAAAGTAGCTTATTAAATTCCAGAGTTGGACAGAGATAAGAGCCACACATCTTGTCACTGCCCTCAAGCTTTTCATTTAAAAGACTCGTGATAGTTTTTGTTAGGCATCCCCCACCCCCACCCCCCACCCTGCGCCCCCACAGCCCAGGTTGGTTTCAACTTCCTCAGTGTTGGCATTACAGGCAAGCACACAAAAGATGTTTTTCAGAGGGTAGTTTTAATTTTACAGCAAAAAGAAAAAAAAAATTAAGAGAGGAGCCTGGGGAGATGGTTCTGTCCGTAAAGTGCCCTACAGACGAGGACCTGAGTTTGGATCCTCAGCACCTGTGTGAAGAGCAGGGACCTGGTGGCAAGCACCTGTAATCCCGGCACGGGGAAGGTAGAGACAGGAGGATGCTCACTGGCCAGTTAGCCTCACTGAACTGGTGAGTTCCAGATATAAAGAGGGACTCTGCCTCAAAAAAAAAGCAAGGTGGAGAGTGATCTAGGAAGACACTGATTTCTGGCCTCTGTGTGTACACACATGTGTACATGCGCGCACACACAAAGATGTATGCACACAAAGAGTTCCCTGTGTCTTCTGCCTGGCATGTACATAAGCTTCCCCGCCTATCAGCATCCCCAGTGAGAATAGTGGCTTGGTTACAACCGACAAACCTTAATTGGCACAGCATGTTCACCAGCCTCTAGTTCACATTGGAGCTTTCTCATGGCGTAATTTCTCTTGCTGTAAGTCTGGAACAGTATATAAATGGCATGAATCCACCATTACAGTGGGGTGCGTTCCTCCATGCTCTGCTTAGTCATCCCGTTCTCCTGTTTGGCAATCTCTGATTTTTTTAACCGTTTCCATAGTTCTGCCTTTTCCAGAATGTCATGGAGTTGGAATCTTACAATACATAGCTCCTCAGACTGGCTTCTTTCATTTGTACATTTAAGGCTGTTCCATGTCTTTTTATAGCTCCATAACTCGTTTCTTTTTGATCCCGAGTAATAGTCTATTGCCAGGATGCTACCTACCTCAGTTCATTCGTCCATTCACCCACTGAAAGACATTTTGCTTCCAGTTTTTGTCCATTACAAATAAAGTTGCTATAAACATCTGTGTGCAGGACTTTTGTTTGGAAAAGTTTTTAGCTTGGGGGTGGTGGTAAATACCAAGGAGTATGGTTGCCATATCATAAGGGAAGAATATGTTTAGTTTTTCAGGTGACTGCCAAACCTTCTTCCAAAGTGACTGTGCCATTTTGCAGTTTCACTAGCAACACATCCTTTTCCTGTTGCTCTACATCCTTGCCAGCGTTTGGTACTGTCAGCTCCATCTTTACATCACCACGGGAATGTGATAACTGCGGCATTCGGTATAACAGGTTACTGCAAAGTCGTGGCAATCGGTATGTTTATGTGTGAGAATGTGCATGTAGATAGTGCTGCTACATAAAAAAAAGTAGAGCATAAGCTGGAGTTCAAGACCAACCTGGGCCACACATCATGTTCAAAGCCAGCCTTGGTTACCTGAAAACCTGTCTTTAAAGAAGGAAGGAAGAAAGGAAGGAAGGGGAAAGGAAATCAAGACATAAAATATCCATACTAGCTGATTATGGTTATATGAAAACAACTAAAAATGACTGATTAAAAATTAAGAAATGTGCTGGGTGGTGGTGGCACAGTCCTTAATCCCAGCACTTGGGAGGCAGAGGCAAGCAGATTTCTGTGAGTTCGAGGCCAGCCTGGTCTACAAATCGAGTTCCAGGACTACACAGAGAAACCCTGTCTTGAACTATGCCCCCCCCCAAAAAGGAAATGTTTTGGAGAAATAAAACAATTTCAATGTTAATTTCCCCCTGAGGATTTATTTATTCATTTACTTATTAACTGCACTGCTGTGGGTGGAACCCAGGGCCTTGTACATGCTAGGCAAGAACTGTGCCCCAGAACTACATCACTGTCCTTCAGCCACCAGCCCCAGGGAAATAAACCAAAGAGCGGTATATAAATTCAAGCTGGTATTATTACTATCTCAATATTGTTATGTGTGGGATGCTTTCGATGCATTCTCCTTAAGGTTTCAAGGTCACATAATTAGAAGAGTGGAAATAGAACTGCACATTAGAAGGCTAGAAGTTTCTGGAACACCCTGACAAACTATATCTGGTGTGTGGAGTCATATCAGCTTCAGAGGCAATGACTGGAGTTCAAATCCTACTCCATCTGGTAGTAGATACAAGACTTTGAACTTCATATTCTTTTTTCTCTTTCTTTTTTGTTTTCTTTTTCTCTTTCTTCTCCTCTCCCTTTTTCTTCTCCCTTCTTTCTTTTTTCTTCTTCTTCCAAAGTCTTGTTATGAATCCCTGACTGGCCTGGAACTCACTATCTAGTCCAGGCCAGCCTTGAACCTGTAGTTTCTCCTGCTTCTGCCTCTCTGGTTCTGGGATGACAGACATGGGCTACCGTGTTTAGAAAAAATGTTAGTTTTCTAAATCTAAGAGATGAGAATAACCATGTTGTATTAGTCATTTTTTTTTGCTGTCACAGAATAATGGAGCCAACTTAAAAGATGAAAAGTTAATTTTGTTCCCCAGTTTCAGAAGTTTCAGCCCAGGGTTGTTTGGCTCCATTTTTCTCTGGCCATATGAGACAGAGTGTCGTGGTAGGTAACAGGGAGAAATAAACCTTATGGAGACCAGAGAGGTGGGGGGTCGGGAGAGAGAAGAGAAGAAGGGGAACACAATGGAAAAGGAAAAAAGAAGAGAGGCCAGGAGAGAAAAAAAGAAGAGAGAGGAGGAAGGGGCGGCTTCTAGAGCAGAGGTTCTCACCCTGTGGGCTGCAACCCCTTGGGGGTAATAGCAGATATTTACATTGCAATTCATAGCAGTAGAATATTACAGTTATGGAGTAGCAATGAAATAATGCTTGGGGGTCACCGCAACACGAGAAACTGTGTTTAAGGGCCAAAGGATTAGGAAGGTTAAGAACCACTGCTTCTACAGCATGCCACTGGAAGCCTGCCTCCTCCAGGTAGCCTTCAATTCCTTATAGTCCGTTCAGGGTTATTCAATCAATGGGTTAATCCATCAATGAAGTCAGCTCCTTGTTCATGATCTAATGACTTCGCAATAGCACCACAAGCTGGGGCCCTAAAACTCCAATGCCTGGGGCTTTGGGAAGGCGCATTTCCTTAATAAGTAGAATCCACTTCTTAAGGATTGCTTACATAAAGGCTGACATATTGTGTTTTCCTCTTTCTTCCTCTTCTTTCCCCTTCACTGCCATTCTCCTCCTCCTCCTCCTCCTCTCCCTCCTCCTCCTTCTCCCCCCCCCCATATCCTCATCGTCTCAGGGGACTCCTGAGAACCCTGTCCTCTGTTCTGACATCACCCAGTGAGACCTGCAGGGGGCTCTCCTTGTTCACTGACCTCTCTCCAATCCTGTTGGCTGTTTCTTGTTGTTCCAAGTGGAAATATCAGGTTTTTGCCCGAGATTGGCATCAACAGCGCTGTTAAAGCCCCAGTCAACATCCCTGTCTCCTGGGCCTGGCCCTGTCACCTGAGCCTGGGGACTGCTAGCTTGCTCTTCTCTGCCCTGCCAAGTGGCTGCTCACGTTGGTTCCACTGTGCCAGGCGCTCAGAGAGAAGAAACCAAACCCCTGGGTAAGAACATGTTTGCATAGAGCTGGCCCCTTTTTCTAGAGGGACCGTCACAGAGCTGACAGTGCCCTTGGGTACTGTCCGCCAGCCCTCCGACTGCACGCTGGCTGTCCTGAGCCTACCTGACAGACAACAACACTCTCTCAGCTGGTTTCCAGATCCTCCAGGTCCTAGGCTTAACTTGTTAGGCTTAACCTCAATTCCTTGCTTATTGAACTTGAACTGAGGCAGGAGAAAAGACAGCTTCACAAGTCCCCAAGGTCCAGAAAAATAGGCAAGAGCCTAGATTTTATGTACCAAAAGAACAAAAGCAGTTCTGCAAGGAATCTAA